ACAGTTAATCAGATAATAGATACAAGCCAAATCATAGCCTGGCTCAGGTTCACGACATCAATAATACTGGTACACCAGTCGGTTTCGAACAAAACCTTCCTTCCTTCCCGTTCACGTAAGAAAGTTTTGCTCGAAGTCAAGTGGTGTTCCAATACCAATGATAACACTGACAATGACAATTATAACAGTACATCATCCTCAAACGGAAACAATTAAGCATGATTACAATAAGTATGAATAAATCAACAACCGATCTTTAATCGCTCTAATAATAGACTCTAAAAAGCTAACTGCACATCTACAAATCACAAAGAATCACTTCATCACCGATCTCAGAAAGAATACAGCTCAAACATTAACATCATTAACCACAGATAGATTCATCTGTAAATATTATAGAACACATCAAAGCGATATAATGCAACCAGGCACGATTCAAATCAAAAGCATCTTACAATGAGATTTAAACATAATGATTAAAATAATAATAATCATTCGATAATGCGATAACAACGATTAGCATACATTAATCAAAATAATCATGGCAACACTCATGGAATCGCAATCGAATAAGCTATATGGATGTGATTCTATAGGAAATATTTTGATCCTCTAAGCCAAACATTTACTAACTCGCAAATAATTCACGCAATCACAGTTCAATTTCTGCGATGTATTCGAAAAACCAACAGATTTTCCGACATTCTACAATTCACGATAAGAATAAAACTTCCTTCTAGAAAACATTTCTCATTGACTCTATGTTCTTTTCGAAATTTTATTCAATCTGAAGCTGTCTTTAGCAAATATCTTTTCAGCGTCAATACTTGTCAATGAGAGAACAAAATGCAAACTTGAACTTTAGAGGCATAAAAAGAGGCAAAACGATTTTCATTTCTCAGCCAACACTAGATAGATTCTCACTCAGAAGACAAGATACTTATTTTGAATGCTTGAAATGATAGAAACTTTCTCACCGGTGAGTCCTGCGGGTTCCTAAAACACCGCAAAACTGATTTTTGGTCCTCTTTCCCTTTCAAGTTTCTGTCACTTCAAGGTTTCGAGACAATTGACTGTACAAATAAATGCGAACAGATTTCAATTCGAAAGAAATGCAAAATAAATTGTAGATCGAAGATTACGTAATACAATAGCAGTAATCACAGAATGATTTCAATGCAAAATTGCTTTCTGATAAAGATCTTAACACGAACAAGATGACGGTGCAAACGACTCGGATACATCGGATAATGAGATTGACTTTGACCTGGCCAATCCACATTTTATACCCTCCCAGCCGTCTACCAATCGTAAGGCTCCGCTTTCCAAACGTGCATTCACCTCACGCGCCATCATTGTGAACGCTTCCTAAATTTTCAGTTCCATAACAATAATCATACCCATCAATATAACGCTAACAATAATAACAAACAATATATCAGTAGTGATGATATCCTCACAAAAATCCAAAAAAGATAACGACTGAAATTAAAAACCTCAACATTTTCTCCTGTCACGGCCGACGTTTCGATGAATTTGATACGATGATATTTCGCAAAATATTCGCCCTCTTCATACATCACCTAAAATATAGCAACATTAATCAAAAAATATTTTTGGATAGAATGACAATAGTAATAATGGAAACTTTTGACATCAACGATACTTATGATCCAATGTATCTGCTATTTTTGAATTATCATATTCTTTCATTGCATGCCATTTTCTGTAATTAACAGAAATGCAATAGTGTTTAACGATTTGAATTGAGTATTAATTCATTACAATGTTTCATTTCAACTGAAATTCACTGTTCATGGTTTTCACATTTGGTAGCTTGTATCATTGATGCATGCGAATTCAACGAGTAATGATATGATACATTTGGCGATGGTTTATATGCACTTACATGTAAAACGTATAGATATTCACGAAGAACGATAAACACTTCCACCTATTTCATTGTGCTAATGAAATATTCATTAGTACAGTAAAATAGGCGGAAGTGTTTATATAGTTACTCGTTGGACATCGAAAGATTGTTTTGTCAATCGCTGTGAGCGATCGGCGGAATATT